TTTTATCCACTAAGACAAAAATTAATTTTGAAGGTTTTTCCCCTCGCTCCCATTTCTTGTAAAAATCTTTTTTGCTGTAAAAAGTTTCACAAAACCTATAAACAACTTTTATAATTCATAAAATCATGTTGTGAGTGCATGCAGAGGCCAGAAACGAACTGTTTATATTTCCCAGGTTTTTTTTTTAAATTAATCCAGCAGGTATAAACATGAAAAGGCAACAGTGATTTGCTTCAAGGTTGAAAGTTAAAATGAACTTACCTGCAGTTTTTCCTGGTGTCCAGGGCGACCTGTTGAACCCGTGTCGGTGTGACGGCTCCGTGCGCTACACCCACCAGCACTGTCTGCTGAAGTGGATCAGCGAGCGAGGCTGCTGGACCTGCGAGCTCTGCTGCTACCGCTTCCAGGTCATCGCCATCAACATGAAGAGGCCGTGGCAGGTAGCTGCCACGCCTTCACACTTTACCCTTCACTCCACTTTCATCCATTCAGCAATACACTGATCAGGCCACTTTACACATAAATCAGCTGAAACACAGGTGGACAGACAGCAGAACAAACACACTAAAGCTGCGACTGGACCTTCAGCGAGTACTTCTTTATTTTTTGTTGTTTTAATGGTCAAGTTTGCAGTTTATTCTAATCTGTAGAACTGTTGTAGCTCTTTATTATAATTTTAATTTAAACTAGGGTTGTTTTACGACAAACAAAGTGTTATTTTGGTTTGGAGCAGGGCTTTTCGACCCCCGGCTCGGGGGCCTCGTTCCTCAGCTGCAGACTTTAATGAACCACGACAGGAAAAGCTGCAGCAGCAATTTGTTCTCCAGTTTTATAATAATATGTGAACACAGTTTATTTAAGATAGACTTTATTAAGACAAGGAGCTAACACACAAGTTAATAAATTATTTAATTTTACCTTCCAAACAGACAGTTTGGTCTTTTCTCAGAAGAAAATAAACCAAAGTGCAGTTTGACAAACGTTCTGTGGAGAAAATGTTGTTATTTTGACAATGACGAGAACTAAACTTTAGCTTGTCTTAATAAAATCTTGTTAAAAGTTTAAATAAATCAAACTGTCAGTTGTCATTAAAGACAATTCAGTAATTCTTAATTAAATGTTGAATACACTCTTATTCTTATATTCAGTATCACTTGGTCAGTTTTTCACAAAAACAGCTCAAACTCACACAAACTTTCATAATCTGGTTAGATTTTCTCAAAGGGAATAAACAGGTTTTTAACTTCAAGTTCAAATTTATGATCGATTCATCACTTGTGGTACATGAGGTGGAATGAAATGATGTACTCAGGGTCCCAGTTACACACAAAAATAACAAAAATGTAAAATATGAAACATCCAAGTTCATGCTCAATAATCCAGGTGAAAAAAAAAAACCAACAAAGTTCGGTCAGGTCATCTGGACAGTTTGTTTTTGTTGTTGAGACGTTTCGACCTTCATCCAAAGGACTTCATCAGCCCATATATATATACATATA